GAGTACAGAGGTCAGCCATTTTTGGGGGTTTTTACCACTAGGGGAGAGATGATTATCTGCGCCAGAGTGATAGGCGAGTCCTCAATCTTTTAGGGTAGTGTTTACACGACTGCTCCCGATCAGGTCAGGCTTTTTTATTATTTTATTTCAGATTTATTTTAATACTATAATTTTATTTGATATTTTTTGCAACAATCTAGAAGATTGAGGAGTTTATAGCTATTGTTTTAAATCCGAAATTATTATTAAAAAAATTATTATTGTTTATCGAAGTTACTATTCACCCATTTTAATTTTTGTTAACTACGTTACTGTTAAAAAAGTTTTAGTTACTGTTCATTTAAAAAAAAAATCTGTTTACTGTTTACATAGAGCACTGTACATCAGAGAATTATTTTCCTTGTTCATAAAAATACAATTACTGTTCATTCTAGGAAAATACGGTTTCTGTAAATATTTTCTTGCTTTATTTTAATTGTTGTAATTAATTATAATTAATTAATTTTATTGTAGCAATTAAGTAGTCATGACAATTACTATAGCAAATTATCGTGCCATTTATAAATAGTAAAAGTGTAAGTACTGTTCACAGTTACTGATACTGTTTTATAGTTACTATTTACATGTTTTTTGTTAACAATCACTATTTACATATACTGTTAAGGAACTAGAAATCATTAAGTGAACTGGTTTAAGTTTCCTTAAATTAGTTGGCGTTTAAGGCAAGGTTTAGGGGTTGTGTAACGCGCTCCGTAAGAAACGAGATACTTAATTGATCTTTGATCTCCCTCTAGTACTATCCTTACCTGGCTAAACTACTCGGGTAAAACTTTGATCTTTTCACTTAAGGAGTTTTTGGTTAGGAGTTGATCTAGTTAAGTTTCTGGTCTAGTTGTATTGAAAAAAACCTTTTTATTTATAACTTTTGTTTTACAATCATATGCAATATTATTAATTTATTACAAATCATTTGATATGAATTTTCCGTATAAATATGGCTTATACGTCATATGCTTATGTGATTGTATTTATTTGATAATTGTTATAATTCCATATGAAATATTTTATATTCAAGAATGAATAAGAAGACCAGAATTATGAGAATAATTCATATGCATAAATTTAAATTTGGAAAGTCTTTTTTGTAGGTAACCAATTTAAATTTAGAATGTCTCTTTTGTAGGCAATCAATTTAAATTTGGAAGGTCTCCTTTGTAGGCAACAAATTTGCAACCTCTTATAATATGAGAATTTAAAATTTATGCATATGAAGTATGAAATATACTTTAAGATATGAAATCATATTATAAGGTTCTCTTGAATGCTTTGCATGTAACTATTAGTAATTTTATTCATGTATGTGCATATGCATGCATGTAAAGATATAACTGTAGTTTTTTTGTTCCACATTAGTTTGAAATGTTCAGATATTAAGGGCAAATTCTAACCCTATGCAGCTACATCTTCAGACATAGACTACGATCATTTATGATCATAGACCGTGATCTTTTATGCTAACATATTTTAATGTCCTATCATTTTAACAGTGACTAGAAAGATTAATTTTTATAGCTGTTTATTTGACTACATGTATAATTTTTTCTCTTGAGATTTTAGGAAATAATTAGAGTTGATATAAATATGCTCTGTCAACTAGTATGCCTAGTTACAGAAGATGTGATGAATCAATGTCCTGGAAAATTAAATCAAGAGGTATGTCTTATAACTTCTATTCATCATATAACTTCTATCCGTATGATGAATAAAAGTTATATTAAAATTAGTCCATCAAATAAATAAATTGCTATTAGGTTCCCTTATCCTTATAAGAAAAGTTTGATTTGAAAAATAACTTAAACAAGAAGGGGACCTAATGTCAAATAATATGAAGGACTAATTATAAAATAACTTGATAAATATATACAACGTCTGTTAGGAAAAGTTGTGATTCTAGACTTTGTAAAGTCTAAAAACAATCTTGCTGACCCATTAACAAATGGTCTATCTAGGAGTGTGGTTCTAGATTCATCGAGGGAGATGGGGTTAAGCTCATAGATGAGGTCACTGCCAGCGGTAACCCAACCCTTATTTGGAGACGTAGTCCCAATGTTGGTCCAATGTGGTAGAAACAAGCTGAACTAGTGACACTCGTGTGGAGCATCGACCTAGATATATTTATATATCATTATAGTAGCATGTGCTACTTCCCCTTCTCTATGATAACGATGCTCTTTATGATACAACTGATTAGCCTGAGCTTTACTCTTAATAAGTCCAACGCGTGTATTGCGAATGGTGTGATATCCAGCTGTAGTACCCTTGGTGGACTTACCTACGTGAGAGAAACTGTGATGGCCGCGGTTGGGGGGGGGGGGGGGGGATTGGGGGGGGGGGGGGGGGGGGGGATTGGGCTAACCCCTAGAAACTCTCATGAGTCGGTTTATTGTGAGCATGACCTTTAACGCTCAATCCGTTTTGCTCAATAAATGAAGACGTATTATGTGTGTTTTCGTCAATACCTGATTAAAGAGGTATAATTCAAGGCCTAGTCCATTATGTCCCTCAGGTGACGATAAACTCACTACTACATCTCCCAAATTCACGATACGAAAGGTTACCCAACCTATATTTATTTTGTGAATTATTATTTTTTATTGATTTTGAGTTTTTAGTCAATATTGTCTTTTGGGGGAGACTGTTAGATATTTTGTTTGAGAAAAGGCAATTTTGCCTTCATGAATAGTCCTACATGGAATAGTGTTATGAGTAAAATTAAAACACGCGTAACGGCTATACATTATAGGGAACGTTATAAAAATTTATGACGAACGTTACCGTATTAATTGTAGGAATTATAATGGCTTTCTCAACCCTATATATAAACACCCCTAATTCACTTTCGAAAAAAATAGAAACAATTCTCTCTTTTTCCTCTACTCTCATTTGCATATTATTTTCGTTCATATGTTGGTGTTATTTTTGGGCAACTGTTCTTCTTCTGAGCCGAAATTCTGTTCTCTTGCCCGAGTACAGAGGCCGGCCGCTTCCGGGGTTTTTACCGCTAGGGGAGAAATGAACATCTGCGTCTGGGCGATAGGCGGGTCCTTAATCTTCTAGAGCAGTGTTTACACGACTGCTCCTGATCAGGACAAACTTTCTTATTATTTTATTTCAGATTTATTTTACATGCTATAATTTTATTTGATATTTTTCCAACACAAAGCACATGCACTATATGTTAGGTCTCATGTTTATGAGCCTATTGTCTAATCTAGTTTTGATGATTGATAAACAATTCATTCCTAACATCGTTTATCGAGTGTTTGTATTTGATTCCTAATATCCTTTAAACTCTGAGTTGTTGTTCTTGTAACATGGCACATTGAAGAGAAGCGTGTCATCGACATCAAGTCTCCGTGCATCCTTGTCAGCGCCTCCTAGAGCAAACGTCTCAGGTGAGGAACAATTTAACTCATCGGCAACTCTTTGAACATCAGCTTTGAATTGAGACGATCTAATGTACTTGCTAATAAAATCTACACATTTCTCTACGGACCTCGTCGAAATTTCTGATGCTGTGGAGCTCGACGTGGAGCTTCTAGCTCACACGGTAGTTCTTCAGGCTCGCACACAAATCATCTCTTTTGCTTCCAAAGTAGTCTAATATGTTCCATGAGTAGCCTTCACCTAGCGCAGTACCAAGCTGAAGGCTTGATTGAATGCACAAAACAATATTAACAAGATTTCGCTTTTAACTACCATTTTTTCTGTTTTCTTCCCTCTACAGGGGTTTGAGAGAAAAAAGATGATCATTATGTGGGATTTAAATTGATCTCTAATTCTCTCCAAACAAAACCCTAACCAATAGCTCAGAAAATACCTCTTTTCTGTGTTCCAAATATCCCCAATTTTCTTCTCAATTCTCTCTTCCAATTGTTCCATATATATAGAAATCCTAAAATCATAAACATACTAGGAATTCTAAAACAAAAAATAAAACAGATTAGGAATCCTAATAACCTGTTACCAAAACATTTGGAATCATGTTACCAAAACAGATTAGAAATCTCAATAATCTGTTACCAAAACAAATTAGGAAACATATTAGGAACCTGCTATCCAACACAAAATGCACCCCATTTTTTATTTTTGTGCCCGCAAGGTCTTCTGGGGAGAAGTGAGAAACACAACACAAGTGATGGTCATTTTGGTCGTCGAGGGAGAAATTTTCAAGACCCTCTTGAGATTTGAGGGACTTGTGAGCAATCTTATATATTTGAGAAACTATTATGACATTATTAAAAATGTGGGGGACTAACATCTTAGGGCTTGTTTGGATTGAGGGGAATGGGGGTGAAGGGAAGTTAGGGGAACCATTCACCTCCATTCACCTTGTTTGGAAACACTTAGGAGATAAAGTTAATTCACCCTAGTTCCCCTTGGTTCACCCTCTAATAATATAAAATTTGTTACCCCCAAATTGGGGTGTAACCAAGGGGAAGGGAACTCCCTTCCATTCCCTCTAATAGTATAAATTGGGGTGTAACACTTAGGGGCTGTTTGGATGCCTTTAGGAAACTAGAGTATTTATGACACAAAATAGAAAGTGGTTATCCACCTCACCACTTTTCATTTGAGTGTTTACATTGTTTGGTTAGGAATCTTTGTGAATCCTAAAATAATAGTATTACATTGTTTGGATAGTATAATGTAAACTAGAGTATTTATGACACAAAATGAAAAGTGGTTATCCACCTCACCACTTTCTACAAGGTTTTGACTTTTTTATTATTTTTTTGGACACATTTATGACATTGTGTAAGCTTTCCAACAAAATCACTCATAATTTTGGTGATTTTGCTTTCAGTGACACCTCATCAAAAGGTGTAAGCTTTTCATGTAAAAGAGAATTTAAACAAATAATGTAAAGTGATGAAAGCTAACATTAGGACCCACTTTTTTACATTTTCCATCAACCAAACAGTCCCTACCTTCCCTTCACCCCTTACAAATCCAAACATGCCCTAAAAAAACCCGCATCCGTGCTGGACACAGCACGCAGCGAAAAAGCTTTTGCGATAGAAGCAGGAGGTTGTAGGAGGTTCTCGATTGGGCGAACCAATGAAAATCCCCTAAAAGTCCTTTTCCCTCTCCCCGATCCCGAAATCAAATTTCCCCTCTCAACTCGATTCGATTTCCGCCCTAATTTCAGATCTCCAGTTGTTGGCACCGAATCAAAAGATGCAATTAAGGCTTTGTAAGTTTGGATTCAACTCTTTAGAGTCATGTGATTCGAATTCGAGAGTGAGGTTTAGGGTTTCCAAATAATTTTGTTTTCTTAGAGAGGAATCATGTTCTATGGGGCGATAGTATGGGATCCATGGCTGATTGTATCGCAGATCGTTTGCCTTCAGTGTTTGTACTACCTCACTCTGGGATTTTTCATGACGATTCTCGTTGGAACTAGGGTTTCTAGGATGAGCTTGATGTATTTCTTCGATTTCTCAACTCTCACTGCTGCTACGGTCACGGGATGGTGCGCAATCGTTTCGTTTTTCCTCAGCTCGGCTGCTGGGTACTGATCATTTGACCCCTTTTTTTTATTTTGTTGTGAAATTTGGATTACATAGTAGCCTACTATTTATTGTTAGCTGTTCTTTGATATAACTTGGAGATATTTCAGAGGCTCCTTCTGTTCTTTTTAACTAGTTTATTGCGTAGCTGCTGATTACTCCAAATGACATATATTTAAGTAAATAGAGAATGATTTAAGTCGAGAAGGCACAATAAAGACTAGGTCTTGAGAAGCTTTTGGCAATTATCCCCCCACGATTATGAGCACGAGAAGCTCGTAGTCCGATAATCTTGTTATTCAGATTTGGTGCTGATATTACTTCTCTCCTTTTTCACCTAGCTACATCATTTCCTTGCAAGATGAATCAAACACCCGTGTTGAGGTTATGCAAGAGAATTGTCCATACAAAGTGGTGAAATGAGAATTTTCAGTACAGAGTTATATTGACAATTTCGCCTTATGGAGCTATATTGATCTCTATACCATGATATAAGCCAAGAAGATAAATTTTTGTCTTCGATCATCTAATATTAGTTACGTTCTTCTGTGTTGAATCAGGCAGCAATGATTAAAGGCATGGAATTTTAATACTAATAGTACTTATGTCCTTTTCACCTAGTTACATCATTTTCTTGCAAGACAAATTAACGCCCATTTGAGGGTATCCACTGATTGACCATAATTAAGGGGAAGAAATTACCATCTGTCAACCTTGTAAATTCAAATGTTGACATCTTTAATAAACTCAACAGTTCACTGGTTCTTTTAATTATACGCATAAACCAATTTTAAAGTTCTTAGTTAGACCGTGTTGAAAGTTAAAACCAGTACTCTGTAAACTTAGAGAAAGCGTTTTTTTTAATTGACATCAAACTAAAAGTGATGCCCTTTAAAGAAGATAACATAATTTTTTTTGTTGTTCCTTTCTGAGAATCCAAAGTTACGTGTTTGCCAGTGCACATTAGAATGTAGTCTGACATGCTATCTGTTCCTTATATGGGGAAATGTCTGAGAAGATGATAGTTTATTTAGAATCATTTGCCACTGTTAAGTGAAGCCCAATCTTGATCTTCCTAATTCTTTATTAGATCTCAAATTCTTGATTGTCAGCTTCAACCAGTGATAATATGGCTAGAAGTGTCACTCCCTGGTAATTTAGCTAGCATCACATACTTTGCTCGGCAGTCATATCATCGTAATGTTAATACTTCAAGTAACCTTTTAGCGTAGACATGCTACTGGTGTTATCAACTATCAACCTGTTTTGTCTACTTTACTATTAATTTTTCATGTGTGTCGGACATTTCTTCCCTCTTGATTAGAGTATTCCTTCTAGCCTTCTTGATTTCAGTGAAAAAAGATGCTAGTTAGGTTCTGGCCCTTTGCTTCATTTAAGCTCTTGGTGATCTTCTAGGGAATTTTGATTAGGGGACATGGGCGTTGTGTTGCTCAACGACGTGATAAAATTTTGACAACAAGATTTTATCAAATTAAAACAAGGATATGGTGTATGTAAACAACGCCGAAGTCAGGATAGAATATGCAAACACTACCAAATTAACTTCCTGATAGTTGATGTGTTAGCGTTAACTAATTGAGAATTTCTTTATATATAGGGTTATGTTCATTTTAATACCTCAAAGTTTCATTCATCTTTCAATTTAGTATCTTGAAGCATATATTCTGCCAAATTAGACCCTAGTGTTTCGCCTAATTTGCACGTGGTATCTTCTGTATGCGACCACTGGAGTTTCTATTAGAATTGGATTACATAACTATCACAAGATTGCTTTTGTTCATTTTTTAGCCTTATTTTAAAAGAATGCCCCTAGAATCCCCTTCTTCTTTTTTCTGTTTAAGACAAAACCCATGTATATCTTCTTCTCCATCTGATTTTTTCACCTAACTCAAACACAAAGAAATTTAAATCCGGTGCGATGACATTTCCACGTGAAGATGAGAAATATTTTTGACTCTCAAAATTTAGGGTTACAAAATGGTAGGAAATTGGGTAGTGTCAGGAAGAACAAAGTCAACATTAAGTAGATAGAGATGTCATTTCATGGTTCACTATAGAGAATATTAATTGTCTCTTAAAATGTTCTGGTTACCTTTTCTGCAAATTTAAACTTCATAAGAATAAAAAATGGGTGAAAGTTTGAGATATGAAAGTGAAAATAACCCTTAAATATCATGACTGCTGAAACCTAAATTATGCTAAATTGCTGATATGACTGCTTTTATGATACTGTGATGTGGGTCACATCAAGAAGAAACCTTTATAGGATATTTACCAGAGTCTCCTAAGATATTTATCATTTCTTCTTTTGTTCCAGTTTATTATTGGAAGGCTAATAGCTAATTCAACAGGGAAGTCAGCGGCTTCAAGGTTAATTTCATAACCAATCTGCTTGGTTCCCATATACTCTTACCATCTCATGTCATGAGGGGAATGACAATTATCTGAACATCTGCGTTGGAAATAAAGTTGTTTACCAAAAGATCTATAGCAATTAATAACTCTTCTGGGTTCATGACCATGCTTCTCTGAATAATTGTGGGGGCAGAACTGCAAATGTAAATTGGATTGAAACTATTTGTATGTTGTGTGTGGACATTATTTTAATTACTATAACTTTTTTTTTTGGGTTTAGGGATCCAAATTTTCCTCTCTTTATCTTTCTCCAACATTACCAATATATCATATGTTGTATGAGGAGCTAGTAAATCTGCATTATTGTCAACTTTTACTTGTTTGCTTGCCTTTCTTTCAAAAATAAACATTCCTCTATGTCTTAATTTTAGTTGATTTTAAAACTAGTATATCTGAGAACGCAACCATTGAATTCTCCTTATTTGCTTGAACAGGGCAGGTTACATGTTTTATTTGGTTGAGAGAGCCAAGAAGTGCTTAGACTTCTCAGCAACCCTCTACTTAGTCCATTTATTTTTGTGCATCATATATGGGGGGTGGCCATCTTCTATTACATGGTGGATTGTAAATTTTACTTGTCTGGCTTTGATGGCTTTACTTGGGGAAAGGTTGTGCATTAAACGTGAATTGCGAGAAATTCCTATTACACGACTTCGTCCAAGTAAGCATTTTCAGTTTTACTTGAGTCAATTATCTATGTCATTTATTTGATTTGAGTATCATACTTTTGCTAATGCTGTAGTTCATTTCATGTCCATTTACCTCTTTTTTTTTTGGAACGTTAGGGATTGCATGAATTCATTCACAAATTACCTCATTTTAGCTTTATAGACTGCAGTTTTGGAGAAAAGTATAATCAGGATTTTGGTTTCATGAATCCATCTGTTAAGACATATTTGAGATTCTGTTGGGAAGAGTAAGCAAAAACGAGCAGAAAAGAGTTTAATACATTATATTTGCAGTGGCTGGATAAATTTCTCTGAAGTAACTTGTTTACAGTCAGTGGGGCAGCCATGGATAGGCTTCAGGTAGTTTACTGCCTTATAGTGAGTTCTTATCATGTTTCTACTTTTATTGAATTTAAAGTACAATGAAGAGAAGGGAAAAAGAAATGAAAGAAGTAGATGGATATGAAGAGCACGAAGAAGAAGAGAGAGAAGAAGAGAGAGAGGAGATGAAAACCTCTAAAATTTGGGAGTGGCTGCCACTTTATAAAAAAATTTCTGACTAATTTAGTTAGCATTTTTACACCTTAATTATAGTGTCGATATAGTTGCTTGCCTTAGTTTTGCTATGGAGGATATCCAAGAGGAATCAGGGCACTTGAGCACTTAGCTCTTCTCTCCCGCATGTGGCTTCCCTCTCGCCGCATCTTACTCTGATGAATTACCTGGAAGAACTTCCTTGGTTGTCCCAGTACAAACTGTTTGGGATCAAAGGGCCTTTCAGTGTAGCCAATCAATAACATATTAGACATGTTCAATGGTGAATTTGAATTGGGGTAATCTATAAGGCTAAAGTTAATTACAGTTGGTAAGATACTGTACCTTCCCTTTTTGCATGATTTTCAAATTCAGATTAAGATAAGAGGTGAATGTGTACTTTCGAGGGAATTTATCTTTAGCGGTCTTTGTTTCCTAATGAATAAAAGTAATATGACTCAGGCTTGGACATGTAAAATAAAAGTGCAATCCTTCTTCAAATCGAATTGGTACATGTAATGGGAGCTGTTTGCTTAGGATATTCAAGAGATGTAGAGTTTGGGCTCTGAGGAACATAATCAAATTACAAGATTAGCTGAAACCCACTCTCTTTCTTTGAGTCTCTCTTTAGTCATCTTCAAGATAAGAAGTTAACTCGAACTTCGCTCGTCAAAGATTAGGTCCTGGGATCTTATCCTAGATCCGAACAAACAGGTGAGATAAGAGTTATCTAAAAGTGACTTGTGGCAGATTTCCTGCAGTCAAGTGACTAGTGTTATAGCTCTGGTGAGCTCTGGTGAATCCAATGCTTATTTCAGATCTGAACCAACAGGTGGGATTTATCGTTCAAAACTGAGTCGTGGGGTCCTCCCAAAAATTAAATAATACATAAATCAATAAAATTCAATGATTGGTCTCGTAGCTCAGTTGTTGAGAGACAAAGAGGAACCTGTGATCTATCAATAACCTTGGTTAGTCAACAACTCACATGACCGTCGTGTACAAATTTTTTTAAGTTCAACTTTTCATTTAACAAGCAACAGATGGGTACAAAACCTGTCTTAAACCATGTGAATTGATTTGCAAGAAACATTAAGCACAGTTTCTTAAAAATTGGATCGTATTGGTGGCAGTAAAATTTCTAGGTTTCCTCATCCGTTTCATCTCTTCTGAAAGATACTCTATACTGAATTAGGGAATCTTGTGCCTGCCAAGTTTAGTGTTGTAATGAAACTTCCAAATTTCCTTATTAGCTTCTTCTTTTTTAACATCCGATCTCACCTAATCTGTAGGTGCATCTATTCATAGCTATATCTTCTCATGGAAATGATAGTAGTTTTTAAGTGAGTTGTCAGGACTCGTGTCACCAGGTGATGATCCTATTGTCTCTGGTCTACTCTCTACGTTCGTTCTTTGAAATCTCCATACCTTTAAGCTGCATAAGCCTCTGTTTTAGCCCAATTTTATGATCTTTTAGACTTTTGACATAATTTATTTTTTCCCAAGCAATGCATATTGTGATTATGTTGAAGGCTTGAAGCTATTTAAGAGACTTGAAGTATGCCGAAGAACTTACATGAATTTTGTCTAGAACAGAGATGATGCTAGCCAGAAAGTTCTTTCTGTTACTTTTATTGAGTTTGTTGCTACCTCTTGTTTGGGTCATTATTCATCTGGGATTTGGCCCATGGATAGATACATACCACGAGGATTCAACTCGGAGAGAGAGCATATAATAAGCTCCTTTTCGTTTTCTAGAAAAATTACCATTTCAGTTCATTCTTTGCTTCCGGAAAAACAATATGTGTATCTTGCATTGTCTTCACCTTTTTTTCTCTTCTAATTATAACAACCTCGTGATCGATCTAAAGTTTATTTGCCTTGCAGATGTTTGATTCAAAATTAAAAAAACATAGATATATGCAAAGCTTTGCTTCATCGAAAAATATGCTTCTCCTTCGCGAGGAATGTTCATATGAACATTGATTTCTCATGCGATCATGAACTTTAGATGGCTGTGATGCTGATGTTGTCATCAGGGTACCAAGATATGCAGAAGCAGTTTAGACAGAAACAAAATTGTAAGGGGTTACCTTGCCTTTTGTGCAGCGAGGGATTCCAATTGTATGCTAAATTTTTTTTGGGTTACATCTTATTTTATTGGGAACTTCGGCAGGAATTCTTTGGGCTTGCTTCCATGGAAATATATACCAACCAATATTTGGTAAGCATCAAGTCATTTCCTTTTGTCTTCTATGTCATAAATGCACAAGGTACTGTTGCTTTTTCTATATGGATCTCTTCTGAAGCTTGGTAGATACAAGCATTTGAGACCATTAAAGCATTCTTTGTCGACCAGCTTTCACAATACAGGGCTGAGTCTACCAGATCTGGCAAGGATAAAATTGTGAGAAAGGGAATAAAAAACGTCTCTTGCTTAGGCCTAATGGTTTCTGCCGTGGCCTGCTGCTGTGGTTAGGGTCAAAGCCTATCAATTTATCAGTGTTTTGCCCTTATTATGATTTTTCTTATGCGGCCTTCTATACGATCAAGGCGGAATGGCTTCTGTAATGATAATGATGCATTCTGACATGCATCAAGGCCTACTAACATGGAAGATCAACCCCATAACGATTTATCATCTTTGGGACATGGATTCTCACATAAATCGACTAGCGTACGGATATGATGTTTTCTCAGTGGTCTGCAGCATCTAGACGTGCATTTAGGCCTAATGATGTGGACGATTTACGTCAATTTTCATGCTTAGGCTTGATGGTCTCTCTTTTGATCTGCCGGTGTAGCAAAGTCCTAGTCTTTTACGATAATGCTCTTCTGCATGTAGGCATGCATTTGATTCGACTTAGTTGAAGGCACAACGTAGCTGCTAGTATTTCAAAATCTGTTTCCGAGGGAAAGCTGTTATCCTTATGAAGCAAATGATCTGTTGTTTGGTTCATTGTGACAGAGAAATAGCGAACCGAAAAGTTACGACTCCTTACTTTCTCAGTTGTTTATCATTCCTCAACTGCTTTGGTTGGTGCTACAGTTAATTTTGACTATGGATCTCAACTAATATTGTTGCGACTTCCAGCTGTAACAACCAAACATTTTATATGGCATTCCGTGCTAAAGTTTTCTTTCTTTCATTTCCCCTTTACCTTTTAGATAATGACTTTTTGCACTTAAAGAGCAAACATCTCTTTGAGTTAAATAAGATGATTTAATTACTATTCCTCAGTGAGAACACTATCCAAATACGCAAATATAATTTACATGCAACTACATCAAATGCGTCAATTACACAGCCAACAGCATCATAACATGTTTACACCTAAAATAACTTAAAGACTTAGAGCATCTCCAACAGCTTCCCTATCTTCTTGAAATACTCAATTTTGGGGAATATAGAGGTTTTTTTTGGTCCAATAGATTCCCCATCCCATTCCCCAAAATAGGGAAGGAGGAGAAAAAATAGTGAGCCTTCCCCAAATCTGCAGCATTCTCCAAATTTTTGGAGAGAGCTTTATTATTGTAATAAATACGATTTTTTTAAAATAGGGAAGCTGTTGGAGTTGGAGCAAAAATAATTTGGAGAATATGACTTTTGTTTCTTCATTTTGGAGAAAAGTTGGAGCAAAAATAATTTGGAGAATATGACTTTTGTTTCTTCATTTTGGAGAAAATTTTGGGGAAGCTGTTGGAGATATTTGGAGAATATGACTTTTGTTTCTTCATTTTGGAGAAAATTTTGGGGAAGCTGTTGGAGATGCTCTTAGAAGTGGCTAGCTAAAGTGAAGTCCCGAAAATTATCCCACCTACCCTAAAATCATATAATTTATTCAGCTATCTAAAAGATGCAAAGCTGGCTACAAGCGCAGAAGCTCATGCTTTCATTGAGAAGGTGTCACTGTATTGATGTTTACTTGTACAGATGTAGCCTTCACCTAATGCATCTCCCTCGATAGCACCTGGAAACTTTGTAGACACAACTCATTAGGCTCTTTGGGCCTATGTCAAAATTTAGGATCCTTGGTCCTGTTTTCAATGATGGCATTTTTCATGCTCATTTCTTTTCTGAACTGTTACAGTTGCGCAAATCCTGTAGGTACCCTGCTGGGGAATTCCCGAGTTCGGATCCCCGGAAGTGTTTTTGGCATGGGTTTCTTTGTTCTCATACCCACCATTTTGGTCTATGTATCTGGTTTTTAAGAAAGCGTATCTCAAATATCTGAATACATAACTACAATTTTCGTACGATAACTAAAATTTTCGTACGGTGCATTCTCACATAATGCGGTTTCTTAGACCATATAATCATCAAATCTTGCACGCTTATTGTTTTAAATCTTCTTTTCACTTGGTAATTTTCCAGAGATGTCAATTTCAGATATTTTTGGACTACTGAGTTCGGATACGCATCACTATGCCAATATTTACGGTCTCATGCTGACGCTTAAAGTGATGTGTAATGCGTGGAGATGTGATCAGACTTCTCATCTGGTGAAGTTATTAAATTTATAGACTACAATCTTTACTTGAAATCTTCCATTGACTACAAATGAACCGTCATCGATCCCAATTTTGACCGAGTGTTAACTTGTATCAAAAAGAACTTGAACTCAGGTACAAGACACACATCCTACGAGGCATGCACATAATATATGATTATTATTGGATTTTTTTTTTCTATCTTCATGTAGCCTGTAGCCTTCTGACTCAAAAATTTCTTTTCAAGTTGAGGTTTCTTCACGCCGGTGTCAAGTTTCTCTTGGAAAAATCTCGCGTACGAGTTTTAGCTATTGTTATGCAGTATGAGAGTATCTCGCTGACAACACTTTGGAAGTATTTGAATGTTGATTCATACATCCCAAATTTTTGTTTAGTCTCTTGTGTGGTTTAAGAAATTTTGGATATATTTTCATTCAAATTTCATAATCTTGAACTTTAAGGCAAATCCACTTCGATTAAAAAAAAGACTAAATAATTGAATTATTACAACTGCGATGACTTCAAAAAAAAAAAAAACAATATTTTCCACATGAACACCTCGATGACTTGTAAAACTACAGCCATGTCGGCAACCAAAATCCTGGGTCCCGCCAGAAACCCACAAACCAGCGTTCTCACTGAAGTTGAATCTAAATCTGTTTTGTCTTAATTTCCTCATGAAAAAAAACGAAGCTTTTTTTTAGCACGCATGTTAAAAACGAAGGCAAGCACAATAATCAATTAGTTGTCTCTGTGGAATCCAACGCCTAACCTAGGGATTTGTTAGGATATGATCACATAAAATTTTGTATGTTTAACCAAGGGAGGTATATTTGAGAGTTGAAAAGCAACTCAACTTGGCAACATTGAGGACTAAAAAGCTTATAAAACTATTATTTTTTAACCAAAGGGAGATCCAATCATCCAATGTTGTTCTTTCTCTTACTCTTGTGACACATGGTGCCTTTGTGTTCCATAGCTCTTTTGTCGTAATATCATCATGATAGGAATTGTTCTAAAGAGTTGAGAACCAACTTGATATTGGTCATATTGAGGTTCCATTACATTTTTTGTGTGTTTAACTAAGGGAGGTGTATTTTCGAGTTGAGAACCCACTCAATCTTGGTAATATTGATGTCTCAAAAGCTTGTTAAATTATGAAGGAAATATTGTATTGTCCAATTATGCTCCTTTCTCTTACTATTGTAACACATGGTTCCTTTTAACTTTAGAATTCTATTGGTCTTTTGTCATAGCATGGTAAGAAGAATTGTTCTAAGTAATCATGTAGGGTTGAGAACCAACTCAGTATTGGCAATATCAAGGTTCAAATGTTGTAAAACAAATTAACTTTTTGCTTACTTTTCTTATTTTCTTTAAGCAAAGAGAGATGCAATTCTCCAATAACGTGGGTGCTCTCCCAACCCCTTTTCTTGTTTTTGACACGTGTTGCCTTTCCTTTTCTTGCTATCTTGTTAGGGCCTGTTCGGTTATTTTCCGAAAAAGAAAAGAAAACTGAAATATGAAATCAAAACCATTTCAAAGCATTTCACAGACGTTTCTCAGATTTGATTTCTTATGTTCGTTTGACATGGAAATCTTTGGTTTGAAATCACATTTCACATTTCACCTGTTCGGTACAGCAAACCAGAATGAAGAAATGGAGTTTTTGCAACGGTAATATCTCCGAAAAACCAGCCAACGGTAATATTTTTGCAACGGTCACAAAAACAACTAGCCGTGGCCTGATGCAATGACCAGCAGCAGGCCTTAAAAGCCAACGGGCAAAATTTCTCCCCTACCACCCTGCACTTATATATAGCTGGGATGTGAGGCATAAGTAATAGCAACTCCACTATCCTGTTCATAATTTCACTGAGATAAGAAGCATAAACAGGCAGGGAAAATACCGGAATCCAGAGGCCTTGGATTCAGCTGCGACATGGAAACAAGTCAAGTCTCCAAGGAGTTAGCTGAAGTTGTAACTTGCTACTGTCAAATACCTACGCCAATCAAGCTTTGCAAAACAGGATTACACAAGGGGAAATACTTTTGGGGGTGCGGCTACTATCCAAATAGGCGCTGCCAGTTTTTTAGGTGGGCAGAGGAGCATAATGATAAGAAGCAGTGCAAGGTAAATTGTGAAATCAACTCTGCGCAATCAGTACCCCAAAATAAAGATGTTGAAACAAAGCTCTTGCGAAGAGAGTTGAAGCTTGCAAACCAACAAGTTGATTACTTGAAGAAATGTATTCTTGTTTTAGGAATATTTAGTATTTTCCTTGTTGTCATAAACATTGTAATCTGCTCTATGAAAATGTAATGCAAGAAATCTCCAATTTAATGTATTGCATAAAACAGAGATGACAGCATTGAGTGGAAGTATAACACAGTTTTGAGTTTCAAAGTGGGACTAATCCATTGCATCATAGTCAACGCGGAAAAAACATTGGCAATTATGACAAGTTGTGCTCAGATATATGTCTACAATACATTGATCCCACACCAGCAAAGTGGTGCATCACAATGATGGCTGCATTCTTTCCAATTTACTCCTCATCAAAACAGGTAAATGTTGGGAATGCCTCGCCACTACATTGCATGTACTATATACTGGTGAGGAATATCAGCTACAAGACAATCATCACAGCACAATTAAATCATGCAATTGCAAACTGCCCACCCAACAGTGCTCAGGATATTCATGAACAAACAGTTATGCAAGAACCACGTCTCAAAAACAAGGTAAGGCTGCAGTCAATGTAAAATGCCTGCATATCACAATATCATGCCTCGCCTTTACCTTGTTAAGATACGTGTGATTGCATATATGATTTGCATGATCTCATCACAGCACAAGTGCAATTAAAATGCAAATTGAGAATACTTGCCATACCAGATTGTGTTTGCACTGAACGGGGCACTTTACCAAAACCCTCGTACACCTGAAACATAAGTGAAAAAAGCAACGTCACTTGAAACCAATAATGGAGAAAAATACAACGCCAGTGTCATCATAATCACCATACATACGGTTGCATCCTAAATCACAAACGTAGCTACAAAACAACGTAGCCTAATAATTAACAGGCATACCCAGTTCGTACAAAATAACAACTGGATAGTTAGGCAAAAAGTTGCAAAATACATATTTCCCCCCCATCTCCATAATGACCCTGTATGCAACAATAGGTAAAGAAATGAGAGATGATTATTTGTAATAAATTGCACGACCGTATAAGCAGCATATCAAATTACGTACCTGAAATGGCAAACTAGCTCCCCCCCTCTTGCATTTTCCTGAAATTTTCTAACAAAGCTCTCTGACCGAAGTCAGTCTTACCTATAAAATGTCTGGCCTTGGATTCATCCTCAAAAATGTGATCATAAAAAAGCTCCAGGAATTCTATTGAGTATGTATCCTTGTGCTTGAAGATGGCTTTGGACAATTTCTCTGTCCAGTGGAGATTAATAAGATTCATAGAACTTGAAAAATGTTTAACTTCGTCAACCATTTGCTGCATTATCTCTTTCTCGTTTAGACCCTTCCTCCCCCTCGCTTTAGCCGAAGTGATTCTCCTCTGTTTGTCCTTATTGCTTGACCAGACATTGTTGTTTTCAGATTGAGTTTCTTCATCTACTAGGTTGACTGACCGAG